AAAGAAGAAACTAAATCTGCCAGTAGATGGCGGTAAATGTCTAAATGGAATCATTGATTTGTTCAAATGGCTGATTCATTCAAGAATGAAGTAAATGCTCTCTTTAAATGGGCCATTGAATAATTGGTTCACCCAAATGCTGATTTGTTCTGAAATTTTGTGTTGCCTGGAGACACACAACAGTTCTACTGTGACATTAAAGGGTTAGTTCACCCAAAAATGAAAATTCTGTCATTATTCTCCAAAACTCTCTGCCAAGCTTACGATTAAATTTCGTATTTGAAATCACCAATGAAATCTGTCAACTACTGTCTTATAAATGTTGTTTCTTATGCTCAAATAACGTTAAAAAAAGCTTATTATTCCGACTAGACCAGCCAGTGCTCATGCACCGTCTTAAGCGTGCATCTCAGAATGCTGGCTGTTTCTATAGCAACCTGGACTTGTAACGTCAGCTGCAGTGGCGTGATGACTTTAACGATTAGTGATTGGCTCTTTTACTCAAAAGGCGGGGCTTCCTTCAATAGAGCGGCCATATTGAGCGTTGCATTTTCCCCCATTCAAAACTATACAAGTGACACGTCTTGGGTATTCTATAGTCACATTACAGCCTTGACATAATTGAATTTCAGTCAAAGTTGTGCGACACTCAGTCGCAATTTACCGATACCATAGGAATGAATGAGAAGTGCCATAAGCTGAATCCCCCCTGTCGCAAAATGTCTGTGACTTCTCTTATAAAACTTTTTAATATAAAAATAGTTCAGTCCAAAACTATTTTTAGTGTAAAACATGTTGAAGATTAGCCGGTAGGCTGTTGATTTATTAAATGATAAGCTGTTTCCTCACAAAAGCTGTTTATTCAGCGTACTGAAGCCTCTCCTCCATTGACAACCATTCAAACAAAAGGGCCTCTGGTCTCCTACCCTGCGTACCGCCAAAGCGGCGGCGTTAGCATTAGCCGTTACACTTTTCTTGATAAAGGAAGCAGGCTTGCCTTTCAGTGGCTTTTGGCTCCAAATGCTTTCGAATCGCGCTCGCGGTACTTTGATGAACACACCGAATCTAACCGGTGTATAATAATAAGGTGTGTTCAAATCGAACACACCTTATGAAATGTAAATTGACATACTTAGATCTGGGGGTGAGGCGTGTGCGTTAATTGCATTCAAAATTAAAAGTAACTTAAAATGAAAAAGTAAATTCTATGCAACCAGCATTTCATGTTGATTTTGAGAAAACTGACCTTGTATTACTGTGAAATATACTAAATTACTTTGATAGTTATTCTGAGAATAGGTCAAGATCCTGCTTACCTCAACCCACCTCAACACAACCTTTAGCTTCTACAGGAAACAGAACTGCAGTGTGAGATTGTCACTTCCATCAGTGGCCTTTAAAAGGCTGTGTGAGAATAATTACCCCAGTGTCACTAAAGAATGAGTAAAAGATGAAACGGACAAATCCCCAACCACCTCAAGGCATTACAGCTGGCCCAGCCGCAATCATTTTTATAGCTGGAGAAAATTATATGTGGGGTAACATTATGATGCTATAAACTATAAAATTTTCCCACTTTTGAAGTGCTTTTTGAAGTACTGTACTACAATTCAAAAGTTTATTTATTTATTTTTTAAAGAAATTAATGCTTATATTTAGCAAGGATACATTAAGTTGATCGAAAGGTTCAGTAAATGTTGCAAATTATTTATATTTCAAATAAATTTCTAAATAAATAATACCAATGTATTACCCAAATAATTTTGTATTCATCAAATTATCTTGAAAAAAGGTTTCCACAAAAATATTTAAAACAATCCAGCTGACCTCTTGCATGGTATGCATGTTGAACCAAAGAAACAAGTTTGATACATGACACAGGAAGTAGAAACAGTGGTGGCCCAATATTTCATACTTGTTCTTGAGATTTTGCCATTCCGAAATGGTTTTCTTATTTAAAGTGACATACAGTACATTTTCTACTTGGAAGATTCACTAAAGGCATAGTTGTGATGGTTCATGGATCAATTCTAACTAGCATTAAGCCTAAAATCTGTGGGCTCAGGTCTTTAACCACTAAATTACTGTGACCAGAGCAGCTTCTCTGGCAGTATCATATGACTTATCTTTGTATAGAACAAATGTTATGTGATGGATTTTGTGGTGGATCTAATATCCTCTATTGTCACTTGTGCTTGTGACTATAGCTCGTAGACCCTCTTTAGAGACATTTCGTCTTGTCTTTGCTTTTCATCTGAGTCCATTTGTATTTGGCAGGCTTTTCCCCTTTGTTCCCTAGCGTGCAATTAATAAAGCACGTATTTCTTTTGGCTGGCTGTGCAGAGACAGGTTCTGTTGAAGGGATGTTTTCTAGAAATGGAGTCAGGTTTAGCCACACAGAGATGTCTGGAGCACTAACAAGTTTTATTTAAATTAGTAATTAGTACTGTGTGTACCATGTCATGTGCTGTTTTTTTTTTTTCTTTGCTATTATTACATAGTTTATTTCCATACAAGATTCTTTCATAGTGTTCAGTGGCTGTCAAGCTCAGAAAAGCATTAAAGAAATACCATAAAAGTAATTATGATCTGAATAGTTAAAAGGATAGTTCACCCCAAAAATGAAAATTTGTCATCATTTACATGCCCTCATTTTGTTCCAAACCTGCATCATTATTATGTGGAACACAAAAGAATATATTTTGATAACTGCACATTCTATGTACATTTGAATACTTGTTGCCTTACTGCTTTTTATTTTATTTTATTTTATTTTATTTTATTTTATTTTATTTTATTTTATTTTATTTTATTTTATTTTATTAAGAAGAAAAAAGTCATGCATGTTTGGAACGACATAATAAATGATTATAGAATTTTCATTTTCCAGTGAACTATGCCTTTAACATGTCTATCGTGTTAATTCGGGTTGTTTTGTTATGATCTTTTTCAGTAAGTATATGATATCTGTATAATTCTAGTCATTTAATGGTTTACTTATTTAGTCCCGTCTGGCCCATGCTGTAAATTGAAAATGGCTTCTATTTAATCTTAATAATCTTCAAATATGAAAATTACACGGTGCTTCTGAGGCAGTATGAGCCAGACCTCTGTGCGGAGTCGTATTTACCAAATTAAATTTTCATTGAATGAAGCGCCACCCGAGTCTGCCCCCTTGAGTGTAATTTGAGCCACTGGAATGGATTTTAGCCCTGTGGTATTATTATATGTGGCTTATAAAGAGGGAGGGGTCTCTGCCCCGAAACGCTCAGGAACATAAACAGGCTTTATATTTTCTATTAAAAGAGAGCCGCTCTTAT